AAGGAAAGTTTTAAAAAAAAAAAAAAAAAAAAAAAACTTCAAACCTGCACTAATTATGCAAATTATCTGCTTGGAAGTGCATGAAGTTGTAAGCCCAGGAAAGCTTCACTTAATTATCGTCTTATCAAAGCGAGATTGCTAATATGTGGTGACACACTGTCATTTCATCATCCAGCAGCAATGGCACAATTTATTTTGAGCTCTCTTAATTCTGTTCTGAATGGATATCACCTTTGGTTTGCTCTCTGTTTATGTTTTTGTTAAAATATCCATCTCTTCACCCACTAAATACGATGCGCATCGTTCTGACTTGCTTGCACTTTCTGCCAAACATAAAACGTTTCCTCTGAGCTTTTCCACTGAAACTGTAGACTGCTGCAGCTGGTGAGGCGTTCACAATTATCTGCCAGACAAACCCAGAATTAATGTTGAGCCTTAAAGACTGGAAGCTCAAGAAAGTTAATTTATGAGGTTAAGTGCAGAATCGGAGTTCGATTCGTGGATTGTCCCCTTTAACAGGGCACCATTTGGTTTTTTGTTCTTGTTATAGAGCATATGTCAACCTTGTTGAACCCTCTTACAATAGACATGAAATCCACAGAAGAAATAGCAAACTTTTATTCCCTGTGAACAGAGGGAAAAAAAAAAAACACTTTGCAGTGTAGAATAGTGATAAAAGGATTTGATTGGAAATAGAGGATGTTTACATTCACATTTCTTCTGCATGGGCTTTCTGAAGCAAGGCGCCAAGTGTGAAAAAGGATTATATTATGCACTATTGCATTCTGATACCTTTGCATAATAGTTGAAACCATCCTGTTAAATATTTTAATCAAAAATTCCCCAACCTACACCACCCTACGTTTTCCCCCCATTAATTTGGCTGCATTTCATTACCAGGCTCCTATATCTAGGACATGCATAATCTTGGCTTTCTTTAAACCCCCCTTTTAGTCCAATTTTTCCTTTTTCTCCTGCAAGTCCCTCACAGCGGTGTTACAAAAATACATCATCAAGTCTGAGGGTTAAGGCACAGTCAGAGCCAAACCGCTGCATAACGAGATGGTGCTGAAAAAAAAAAAAAAAAGACTGAAAGAGAAGAGAAAGCAGGAGACACCATGGCAACTGTAATAAGTAACAAAAACATTTCGGAGCTTATCAGTGTCTTCATTTGATGATGACATGTTCTTTTTTCATGCAAAGCACCCAGACCTGTGAAAATACAGGGTCACCGTCTGTAAGCAGCATCTAATTTAACACCGGAGACATTCTTCAATCCAATTATTCCCATTCTTCCAATATAGCTTTGAGCTTTAACCTGACTTGACTGTGTCTTCATTGAGGTTTGGCTTAGTAGACGTTATAGATTTTTTTTTTTTCAGCTAATTTGTAATGTAAATCAGCAGGAATGAGGAAGAATTTCACTCAGTGGTACTTAATGATCTCTAACAACTAGGGGTCACAGATGGCTTAAACACCAAGATATTTTCAATTTTATACTGAACTAAATTGAAAAATATAACCGGTCTTGGTTTGTCCTTTGAGCGGGGATGTCCTGTTTCAAATCTAAGTATTAGTTTGGGGTCCTGATCGCTGCCTTCTTGATTGATTTATTTATTTATTTTTTTTAAGTAGCTGACTGTAATAAACCTCTGATCTTGGTTGTGCTATTTCTAAAATAGTTAAATAGCTGAATTATGTTCTGTCCTGCACAGCATTACGATTGATTTGATTCAGGTGTGTTAAATCAAAGGACAATCTAAAACATGCAAGATGTTGGTTCCCAGGAACAGGAGTTGCCCTGCTAACCCCAAACCCCCATAGTCTATAGATTTACATCAAAACCTGTAATGGTATCAGATGTTTACATTGTATCACTATGGAACATTTCAGAAATTGTTGCTTGCATTTTCTAATTGAAACAGTTCAAACTAAACAATGTAAACTAAATAAGTTGGTATTTATCATGGTGGTAGTGAAGGAGCTCCATAAACAATGAGCTCCTCTGGTTAACTAAGCCTAAAACGAGGCACTTTGAGGAAAACTCTAAGCAGAAACGGCTTCAAGGGGCAGCAGTAAGGTAAAAAGGATCACAGCATCGGTGACTTACGGTGCGCCATTTGTGAATATCTGTAATAAATATTGCAGATGTGGAATTAAGAGTTGGTTTTGGCAAATGCTAAATATTAAATACCCCCTGGTAAAGGGAGGATCCCTATTGTGGCATCTTGTAATCCTGCTGGTTCAAAATTCCCCATTTTTACGTTGCAGCTCAAGTTATGCTCGACCAAACGGTTGTTTGCGATTTATTTTAATAACACCAAGCAGTAACTTGGCAACACGGCAAGTCTTATGGATGGAGGCCTTCCCTGACTGTGCATGTTAAAGCCCTGAAAACAAAATCCCTCCTCAGCTGCTCCGACTGTCCATTTACCTCCGACAGAGTCGCTTTTCTGCGAATGTTTTCCATGTCCTTGAAGCTCATATTGTGTGCCAACTTCCATATGAACAGGGGAAAAAAAACAAAAAAAAACATGCTGACATTTATAGTTTGAACACAGAGGTTTGCGACACCCAGGTGTTCAATTAAGAGTTTTACTTCAAATGTTAAATTGGAGCCGCAGCATGCCTTATCCAGCGTTAATAGTACGCTGAAGTACAGCTTTTACCCCACATAGATGCCTCTGGATGGACTTGGCTGGTGCCGTTTGTCATAATTACAGTTTTACACATACACAGGCACGCTAAAATATCTCCCTCCTGCATTTGGTTTATGACTTGTGTATCTACTTATTCTGCTGGCCGGCGAAATACTATAGCCCAGGGTGTCCAATTATACTAATCGAATGCATACTGCCTGACATTTAGTCATACATTTTTAATAGGTGAAACAAAAGATTCTCTGATTGGATATACTATCTCTCTGACTCCTCATCTTCTCTTTGTGTGCGTCTTATTCAGCCTCGCTTATCTCTCTCTAAATCTATCACTTTCAAGCCAATGACTTTCTTTCTTCTCAGTGTGACTCTTTAACCTTCACCTCCTGTAATTTTGCTTGTGGGTGTTGAGTAATTAGCATGCCTCCCACTTTTCTTCTGGTGTCAGTCCAGGGAATTTGAGAAATGTCCCATAAAGATTATGTGTCTTGATAAGGTTATGTCTGTGACTCCATTAAAGAGATGGGCTGCACAATGACTGTTTATATCCTTCGGGGGAAGACTGAGAGCATGTGAGAAAGAAACTTAAAAAAACAACAAAAAAAACAATGACCTCGGATGGAAAGCACATTTCAGCAGTGGAGAAAGCAGTGGAGTCTTTACTTAGATAAACGAAGGAACATTACTAGGATTGAGTCTTGCAGTTATAAAGTAAGTAAAAAATATAGATTGTCCTGTCAGACGTTTTTAAAAGAAGCACGTTTTAAAAAAAAAACAACAAAAAAAACAAAGTAGATGTATTCATCATAACCCATACATTTCCTCTTCTTAAACTTTTTATTTAGTAGTTTTATTCATTCTATCGCTGGTGAATCATTAAAACTGCACGTCTTTATATTATTAGTCTATGAAAACAGATATTATGCATTTACAAGGTACTCTTGAACTGATTTAGTAGAAATAAAAACTTAATTTACTGAATTTGTGATGAACTAAGATATTTTTTATCAGCAATTAATTTTCTTCCCATTGACTAAGACAACTTTGTATGTTTAGCTAATAAACTGGAAATGGTTGATTGTGTTAAAGGTTTACTCAGAACAGCATTTTTCAAATATGGATGCTATTAATAGCCTATCTGACAAACCAGATGTGTGGAGATACTTAAAGCCATCTAAGCAATTATCTATGCAAGCTGTTTGTCACATCACGGTAACTTCAAAAGCATCATTTGCTTGACATTTGGTTGGTCAGGTTGCTAAATAAACACATTTTTTCAATATAAACCTTTCACTTGATTGTGCTCTGACCTACACTTCACTATAGCCGTTAAATTATTTAGCCAGAAAATTGCATTTAACAAAACAATGAACGAAGCTAATGGTAAACGACAAGCAAAAAGTAACGGAAAACAAGGAGCAGCTGGCGTCAAATATGAAACTCTTGCCGTTTAAAGTATTTGACTTTTCCAGCCAACATCTGCTTCCTTATTCCATCTTTCTTTGACCGTCCATAAACAGTAACTAATGGGGGATGATTGCTGGGAATGAAGACAAACCAAAGAAAAAGCAACAAACAAAGCTGCATCGTTTTACAGTCAGCACAGATTGCTTTAGGAGCCACAAAATGTCTGTTGCCACCTAAAACCTACTTGAAGCAGCCAGCATAGGACGATGTTTAGTCTAAATCCCTTTGCCTCTGTTACAAATGGAAATCTTAAATCCAGGCAAGATTTTATTTTTATTTTTTTCTTTTATGGCTGTGATTTTTGTGACTCTAGCTGGAATTCTGCAGCAGGGCAGAAACAAATAAAGCAGCCGCTGCTCGTATATTTGTTATGTGAAAGAATGTGCCAGCACTGTTCAGTGACCTTGCAGATGCTTTCATTGTTGCAGGCTTTCTATCTTACAGCTGCTGGGCTCCATTGATCGTGACCTACAGATTTGATAACCACTAATGCATTTTTTTTTTTCTCGATTCAGTAATTTTTTTGTTCTACTTGTGTTTCCAGAACTGAATAGACCACATAAAAGATGTTTAATACATCTCTGAAAAAGACTCCACATTTTCTGACTCTGTGCCATTAATTCAAGCGAAAGCCTACTTTCGCCGTCCAGTGCTGCATGCAAACATGGGGCCTGGCGGCATTAATTTAACTTAAAATCTAATGTAACAAACAAAAATATTAACATGAACATGATGAAGGATTAGGATAGAAGTAATATAACTTGTTGTTAGTGGCAAAATTTCATCTGCAATTGTTTAAATATTCTGAAAATCATCATGATTTTACCTTTTTAATGTAAACCTTTCCATAAGCCAATTGCACCCCTCGTGTTCAGCAGCTCTCCAAGTTATCCACTGTTCGGTTATTTGCATAGTTTCACACAATGCACATCAGTGACCACACTGGAATGCCTCTGCATTTTGCATAAAGAAATTCAGCTTTGGCTATTCAAATTGTGAGATGTTGCAGTTGCGCACGACTGCAAGAAATGTTTTGCGTTTCCAGTGGTTGGAATGGAGACTTTTAAATCTTATTACTCGATGAGAGCAGGAGTGCTCAATTTCAGGATTCTTCAAATTACTGTGTGTGCAGTTTGAGTGAAAACACAATTTGATGCCAGCGGTGGATGATGGACCCGACACATTCTTAAAGATGAGTCAGTAACAGCTTGACAAAGTGCCTTTTGGAAACACTTTGAGTCACACATGTGCTTTTGAAGCAAAATTGCAGTATCGGGACGCGGAGGCTGTGGTCAGCCACTTTATATCCTTTGAGGTTTGTGGCTCAAGTTGGTAGCAATCCCAGAAGAGCTTTTCTCCAAAGAGAGGCAGAGTTGGAGAGTTATTTTCTAGATTGATGGTGGATGGTAGCTTCATTTAGGCATCATTTGTATTTCCACATGAATTACATCGCAGAACCTATATGCACCTCAGTGCTGCTTGATAAAAAAAAAAAAAAAAGAAAACACCAGCCACTCTGGCAGAGGGGTGATTTGTGTCACTGGAAGGCATTTAATTTAAGTAAACCACCTCTTCTCTCCCCTTCTCAGTCGCTTTCATATCCTAGATAATGCCTGACGTCTGGAGCGCTTCACTCACTCGGCTCCTTTGGAGATTTGGTTTCATCCATGTAAATGGCATATCTCTCTCTCCCCCCACCCCGTCTCACCCGAGATCTTTAGCCGCTCCTCTGCTCTCATGTGTCTTACTCAAAGGTTTCAGATGTGTCATATTGGTGTGATGTTTGATGCCACAGTGATCAGGCTGCATTCAGAGCTGACTAGACTAGTTCCACCACAGAGGATGTCTTAATCCCCGAGTTGGAGTGGCCACTTATCTCCCTGCACATCTCAGCATGGAGATAGAGGAGCTTTGGGAGTACAAAAGAAAGAGAAGCGTCAGTACAGAGAACCAACCCAACTGTGCAGCAGCTCAGTGTTGTGTTTTACTCATTTCTTTAATTTATTTTCGTATTTGTTCCCAGAATCCGCAGTGGTGCTGCGATGGCGGCAGGGATCTCTCACTCCTTGTTCCTGATGTGTTGGATCCTCCGAACAGCCAGCCTGGCGTTCCCAGAGGAACCCGGACCCCTGAACTTCATCCCCACTGAAGGTAACGACCTCCTGGCTTTTCTGTCTTGTAGACTCTTATTCCCTTGTGCGTACTCTCTCACCAGACACAAAGTGGGAAGCTCTGGACTGCAGCCAAAACACGCATGGGGATGAATAGAGTTGGGGGAAGGGGTACGAAGAACGGTCGTGGCGTAGGTCATGCAGGTCACAGAGGCTCTCACACGAAGGGTGTTGACTGCTGTCCAGGTCAGGTGATTTGGGGCCACGTTCAGGATTGAGACCATGCGTGTAAGAAGGGGTTCTCAGATTCATAGCTTCCCCTCGCCAACATGCGAGGATCCTCAGGGGACGGCAGCTCCTTCAGCGCTCAGACTCTGCGTCTCCACGGCAGCGTGGCAGTCTCCAGCTCTGACCAGACTTTGATTGATTATAGTTCGATAATGGTGACTGATGGCTTCCCAACCGAGTCCAGGCCCTTCCCGAGCATCGATACAGAGCAGACATTGTCAGGCTACTGAGCTCCACACCGGATCAGCTGAATTATAGTGGGCGGCTTTCATCAGCAGCTCACATGAGTCTGAATAAAACGGTCAAAGAGGAACATACATCGTCTACAAAAGAGAGAACAAGAAAATACGCCATTAACTTACAGATTTGGAACCAAACTGCACACCATGACCATGTTGCAATTTATCTGAAACAGAAAAGCAAAAGTGCTGCTAAAATAACATACATTGGTTATGAGAGTTACAATTAAACACGTGTTTGTTATTTTGTGATGGTCTCTTTTGCCTAAGTCAACCTATCTTTGTATAGTAACACCAGGAAACCACATTTCGATGTTAGGTGATTAAAAGGCCAAGCTTTCTGCTCAGACAGTGTTGCACTTATAAGGATGACTAGCTGCCAAAACTATAAAGGTCTGTGTTTATTTTTTTTCTTTCATAAATGTTTCCAAACAGCAAAATCTACTTTTTGTTTATTTTTTACAGTTCTTGGACTTATTTTTAACCTTGGTACATGTCGTCCCATATCTTGCATAACACAGTACAAAATGAAAGATAATGATAGAAAAATATATGCTATAGCAGTTTCTAACAAAGAAACTGCTATAGCAGTTAAATGTTGCCTAGTTAAATGTAGTAGAAACTATTTTCCTTCTGATTGTAATCAGAAGCACATGTGCAGCTGAGAGATAATGTACTTTTTAAGGTTTTGCACAGAAACGTATTACGTAATACAAGTAACATGTGAGATTATACATCATTTGTAATCTTCAGCAAAAAAAAAAGTCCTCGGTTTAACATGGAAACCTTTTGATCAAGAGCTACAGCTACATGTGCTGGTTACAGGTTGCAGCATGTTGCGCAATGAGAGATTGCAATCTTACACATCTATATTTCCCAAAGTTATGCCTCCTAATCTTGATTTAATGAAGCAATGTAAGCATTAGAATTACATAAGGGGTCTGTCTTCTGCAAGTGGAAATACACCATTATCAGGGTTAGGAATGATGCATGCATTCATGGTTATCCTGCCTCATTAGCTACATCCTGGTTGTATCAGGTTGGACACTCTTTTGGTTCCAAAATTAAGTTATTTTTTTAAAGCATTTATTACCTTTGTTATGCTAGCATCACTAAGCCACTGCAGATTAGTTATCTGCACCTCCGTGGCACCTACATTGCTAAGGTGCTGTGTTGCAATGAGATCCGATGACTGTGGAGGCTATTTGAGCACTGCGAACTTATTGTCCTGCTCAATAAATCAGTTTGAGATTAATTGAGCATTTGGACTTGGTGCGTTTTCCTGCTGGAAGCAGCCATCGGCTGACGGATACATGGCCTGCAAATATTCTGAGGATAGGCTGTTGTGTTTTGATGGTACTTGGTAGTGAGGAGTCAAAAGTGTGCCAAAATATCCTCCACTCTATTACACCACCCAAACTATTGCTGCTGAACAGTAGACAGATTCATGGCTTAATGCTGTGTATGACAAATTCAAATTCCGGCCATTCCAGCTGAGTGTTGGAGCTGAAACTGAGATCAGGCAACATTTTTACAATCTGTTATTGTCCAGTTTTGGTGATCTTGTGCAAAATGTAGCCAGAGTTTCCTGCCAGTTGAAACGAGCGGCACTCGTTACTGTCTCCTGACGTCGTAACGCGTCTGCTTCAAGGTCTAAGGTGTTTAATGGTGTTGTCCATCCATAGTTGTAACAAACGGTTATTTGATGTTGCCTTTCTATCATCTCAAACCAGTCCTCCAGTTCTCTTTTCACATCTGGCTATTTTCTCCCTTTCTCCCGTTCTCTGCTAAACAGAGAGATGTTTGTGTGTGAAAATCCCAGCAGATCAGCAATTTGTGAAATATTCAGACCACGGCATCTGGCACCAACAACCAGTCAAGTCAAAGTGACTTAAATTCTCTTCATTTTCAATTCAGATTCATTTTCAGGTTTGAAATTCAGTAAACTGTTTCCATGACATCCAGGCGAGTTTACAGTCTTGAAAGCATCATAAGGGTTTGTTTTGCTCAACAGTGGCTTTCACTGCATATTGCGTTATATCTAGGCATACAGTTTTTACACGTACATGTAGAAATGGAAACATTTTGAATCGGCAAGTGATGCCCATCTTTGTTTGTGATAAGAAATTTTGGTAAACACCTTAAGAAAAAAGGATGAAGTAGAAAGGTTAAAAAGATCAAGAGAGATGAGACGAGTTATAGAGGAGGATATAAAAAAGTAATGATGGTAGAGAAGAGAGATGATGAAAGGATGTCAGATGCAAACTTTCTCTCTGCATCTGAGGTGAAGGTCAAAGCACATAGCTGCACAGGATTCTTAGCCGTAATCCAACCTATTTAAAAATAGCTGCCTTATTCTCTGACATTTTGTATCTTTTCTCCCTTCATCTCACTACAAACTAACTTTTCCCCTCAACACAAAGAATACAGTGTTCTCTAAAATACAGAAGATGTTGGTGTTTGCACATTCCTTTTTGAATCACCATTCGACAAAACATGGGGGGAAAAAAAAAGCCCTGAATCTGGAGTAAATGAACCATTCCTCTAAAAATGAATCCCCTGCCCAAGCCAGTAAACGGAAAGACAGAATGTTCCACTTTGTGATGAATATTTATTATAAATGCTGAACTTTCAAACCAAGCCTTTATATTGTTCAGTTGAACAATGTTACTGAATGTTACTTTAAAAACAATTATCAATCAATCAATCAATCAAATTTTATTTGTATAGCACATTTCAGTAGCAAGGCATTTCAAAGTGCTTTTCTTAATTAAGAAAGAAAAAAAAACAGCATGTGACATTGAATTATGTGCTCTAATTATGTGCTTCTCCCTGTTGTTGACCAATAGTGGTAAGAAGATACCCCGTGTTCCTGGGTCGACCGCACCAAACGTGGCTCAGACAAGAGCCTCTGCACATCCAGAGGATCATCCAGGTCAACCGGACGCTCTACATCGGCGCCAGGTACAACAAATGCCAACACGCACACACTCACACAGGACTGTGTATCCAATAACAAACTGTGTTTTACGGTTATACTTGTGAAATTTGTGGGACTTGGAAAACCTTCTACTCATGTTAAACTTTGTTGCATTATTCCCACAGTATGATTCTGCCACCACCAACTTTCACCATGGGCATTTGTGTGCAGGCTTATGTTTAAAGTGTTTTCTTCCACACTTATGCATATGGAAGGAGTCTTCATGGCACAGAGTGCCTTTGGAAAGCTCTCTTTTTTTTTGACGTTCTTCTGTAAAGGCAGTTTTGTGGAGTGTATGACTAACTTTTTGCTGACAAAATATGAAAGCCTCCTTTGTCCGGATGAACACAATGGCTTTTTATGTGGCAGAATATGTGCATTACATTCTGCGCTGCTGAGTTGTTTATTTTCACAAGGCTTTACTCTTTGAGTTTTGCTTTTTTTCCCCTCTCTCTTCTTATTTTTTCTGTTTTCACTATACAGTCTTGAGTGTGTGTGACTGCAAATGTTCTGAAATGTTTCATCAGTTCAAGTCTAAAATATCTCCAACATCTGACTGCAAATACGTTTCTCCAAATCAAAACTTCAAAGAACAGCTGTATTTACTCCAAGATTAAGTTATGCACAGGTAGAGTTTTATTTATCTTATCTTCTGAAAGCAGTTTATTGAACCAGATTTTATTTATGGGGATCGGTAAAGTGGGTTTCAAACGCAAAGTGCTCTGCACTTTTAAGTTTGTTTATTAAAACCGTTAATCATTCTCCATCAACTTCCCAGTTATGTGCTGCTCTGTGTTGCTCCTGCTACCTTAAAATCCAGTAATGTACATCAAAGTCTGTTGCTTTAGCGTCGAAAAAATGTGAAAAGGTTCAAAGACGTGTAGATGTTAAAGAAGATGTAGCTCAAATGCACAGTTTCGTGCGGTGACTGAATTTTTCAGCAGGTATGTCAAGTATCAATACCTCATTTATTGGTGTTTTATTCCTCACAGTCATTAAATGTTATTGGATTACCCAAACACTTTAGCAAACTGCAGTGTTAGCATTTATGTGAAAGCTTTATGAACTGTTAAATCTTAGCCTTAGTTCCACCTCTGCACAGTCTCTTGGTCAATCTGATATGAGGAGGCAAAACCATTATTTTTCTACAGTCGCACAGCTTGTGGAAGCCCACATGCTTGAGGTTTCAACCCCGCCGAGCCAGGAGACCTACGATCCTCCCACCTTGTCGGGCAGTGACGAGGTGTGACAAACATGCAGGATTCTGAAGGGCTGTATTTTACCTCAAATTGTCATCTTTTCCTCACCCCGAGGATGTTATTCTCAGTGACCAGTGTTCCTGCAGAAACACAGCAAGTTAGACTAAAAGGAAAGCTCAGGCGATGTTGAGTAAAAGACACAGTGTTGTTAAGGGGATGCTGCGTAACATTAAAAAATTGCAGCGTGCAACTCGAACGACTTCAAGTAGGAATAGACAGACAGGCTTAGGGTCTGCATTTGAGCAGTATGTAAAACTGCACTGATTTAATCCCCAGTAAAGAGAGGTAACGGGCGCTAACCATTCCTTAGTGACACGGTCCTTAAAGTCACAGCTGTCGTCGGGCTCCTCTCACGTCCTCACAGTAATAGAAACCTTGCCAGCCTTCAAATGTTAAAATTGGTGTTAGGAGCCAACTAACCTTTCACATGTCTCATAATCTGTCGCAGCCTATCCAGAATAATTGGTGCTATCCTTTTCGAAAGGACATGTGTCTCAAATCGCAAATGCCACTCCATGTTTACAAAAAAAAAAAAAAAAAAAAAAATTTGTGCCAGTCCGGAGGCACCTTTTCTTTGACCAACAAATGGCAGGTCAAGCATGTTCTTGTTTTGTCTCAAGTGGAATGATGTTCTCCACATGTGTGTAAGTCTGCGGAATGTGCTGATCCCGAGCAGACCCGCCGCCGCGGTGGTCAAGACTGAAGGCGAAGGACAAACAGCTCATTGTAGTTCAAACTGCAGCAGTACATCTTCAACGTCTGAGAAAACAAGCATCAGCTGGACTAAATTTGAATGGATGAATGGTAGTATAATTCAAACCACGGTCTATTTTTTTCCTGATCAAGAAAAAGAAGTTTGTGTTTTCCAAAAATAAAGAGACGCCGTGGTTGAGGAAATGACCCGGTCCCCCCGGCCCCCAGCGGGTCCCCCCTCACTCAGGGGACGTGGTAGTAAATTTATCAAACGATGTAACATGGTTGCAGCCATTCTGTCTGCGCTGAGACGGTCCATAAGCTAACACACGCATGTTTTTAAACAGACTGCTAATAAAACTGTCTGAGGCAGCCAAAGCTACTGCTGCCTGAAGCTCTGTGCTAAAATATAACCAGAACCGTGAACCATGTTGCAAAATGTTCACTGTGATTTACAGCAGTAATTTTTTTTTTTACTAAGTAGGTAATGGGATATCAATGTTTCTACCAAGTTCATGATAGTAAAATACTCTCCTGACTCAGCAGCAATAAATATGAGGCAAGAGGGCAAAGGTATAGTAGTTAAAAAAAAACAAAACAAAAAAAAAAAACGGTTACAGATTTGTTCTTTATTTTGTCACTTAATTCAACCACATTCATCGATGTTTAGTCATGAAGAGGCTGTTAAAAGTCACACCAAGGCATTGCAATCTAATTTAAGTACCGACTTTTAATAGGTTAATCCGACTCTTCTTTTTTGTAGCCATTCGTTGCAGGATTTGCTACAAATCCTTGTTCTGCTGTATTTATGGGCAAGTCCTGCGGGTTCAAGATGTTCTTCTTCAAGAATTCATGATTCCACCAATAACGGCAAGTTATCCAAGTCCTAAGCAGCAAAGCATCATCGCTTTTGTTTGTTTAGTCCACAGACTACTTTTGAGACATTTTGGTGATTATTAAAGTGTCATCTTTTGTTTGTTTGTAGATTTTATTTGTCCTTTTTGGTCAGAAGTGGTTTTGTTTTTGGGACTCCCCCATTGAAGCTTTTTTTGCCCATTCTCTTTCTCACTGTTCAGTTATGACCTCTGACCTTAACTGAGCGAAGTGAGGACTGCGGTGCATCAGATGTTGTTCAGGGTGAGCTTTTTGTTGGCTCTTGGTGGTCATCAACCCTGAGAAATGTAATTTCTCTTATTGCGGCTCACTGGAGTCCTGAAACCTCAGAGGTTTCTCTATAAAACCCCCTTCAAACTGACAGATGTTAACTTTACTCGTCATCTCTTCTAGCCTATCTTTGGATTAGTAGATGATGCAATACTTTTTGAGATGTTTTTGCCTACTTGATGTTTTTATGCTTGATGCTTGCTTTGAGTTATTTCATCATTCTGCAGGTATGGAAATACCAAGAAAGAGAGAGAAAAACCGTGACCCATTCATTTTTTTTTCATTTTAGCTTGAAAGAAACAGACACATGCGTGAATGCGTGTGCATACCAAGTCGGCAACAGAGTGTTAAAATGTATAATGCATATATAAGTATCTGTAGTGGCAGGGTATAGCTGCCAGAAGCTCCCACGGAGTGCGCAGCCTGATAAGACGCCCCAATCATCCTCGAGTCCTGTCACTGTTAGCATAGCGGCTCCTGAGACTGCAAGCGGAGCTAAATCCCTGCTGCAAGCACCTGCTGAGAGAAGCTACCCCTCCCTGCTCTGTTTCCAACCTTCCTAAATGAAATTAAACTATGTATTTGCCTGCTGCCAGGTGGGAGTAAGCACCTTGCTGCGTTAAGCCCTGCTTCATTGCTGTAAAGACGAGCAGCGGTGGATTCTGTGGGCTCCAGCTCTCACTCGGATCCGAAAGGCTAATCCGTGCAAATATTAGCCACTTTAAAAGTGTTTATATTTTGCAGCATAAAAGGACAAAGCCATCTACTGTTCCAGTTGCGCAATTGACTTTAACTGTGTGCGAGTCTGCTTGAACTGCCGTCTCACTTCCAGGTTGGAGGTCGGTTATTAGCCCACGGACGTTGACCTCGGATGTCAACAGGGGTCCTGCTCTGGTCACAGTCAGGTCAAATGCTTCGCGGCAGACGGCTACAATGAAACTTGGTTGGTATAAACACTGGAAAGTCAGGAGGGTCCCAGCTGCCAGTCTGACGGAGCTGACAGACTTTTAACGCAGACAGAAGTGTGTTTGAAAGACAGACTCGCACAGGTGATGAGAGGACACCCACGTTTTATAGTATTGAATTTTAGCAACATGGATGTTTTGCATATAAATGTGTTCTTTCAGGTTTGGCGTCACAGTCGGCACTGAAATCCGGGAATATTTAAATAAAATGATTTAATTGGTTTTCAATAGCATAGTCTTTAAAGACTGCAAATACAGCGACTCTGACATCAGCAATACTTGTATTATTATTATTATTATTATTTTTTTTAGTTCCTTCATCACTGCAGTTTTTGTTTGATTGCCCAACCCTCTCATGGATTGTTGTGAATGTATTGTGTTTTTGTGCTTTTTAAAAATAGTTTTTATTAGTTTTTATTGTCGTTGATGGCCTCACAGAATAGAAGATTCTGTTTAACAACCAGTTCAAGACCTAAAATTGAATCGTTATCTTCAATTTTAAACACAACACTGTAAGTCGGTCTAACACAAGAGTCAATCCATCCTTGTTCTGTTCATTAGAGTGACTTCTTCTCCGGTGTACTAGAAAGTATTTCTGCAGCTCACACACCGAGCAGCAGCCACTAAAGACAGGCGAGCCAAAAAAGAAAAATGTGAGGCTTTAGAGGTCTTGACCTCAGCTCTGCTGCTGTGTGGCGGAGCTATAAGAAGAAGGTTCATGAGGTGGTCAAGTAAAAATGTAGGAAATGCTGACAGTTTATCTGGAGCAAATGTTGACTTTCTAATACCGAGGTCGGAGGGGTTGAGGCCATTAATAACGCGAGACAGGTAATGGGGGACACGCATATTATGAATACCAAAACAAGGTCTGGCAGAGTGAAATATGAAACTTGGTGTAAAATCTTAGACCAAACTGAGCTAATGAGGATGAGAGGAGCCACGGGCTGTTCCAAGAGGGAACGCACTCCCTACCTGGGCTTAACGAAACATCTGGTCAATCGCCTCCAAATACATAAATACTCAATGGTTCAACAAGAGGGCCTTAACAAATGATCCTGCAGTCTCTGTGTTGTAGTTAATCTACGTAGGACTGGTTTAATTTCCTTAAAATCTGAGGAGTTTCAGGGCATGTTCTATAAAGTTGGCCAGGAAACACTGAATTGCCTTCTTGAAAAGGGATATTACTCTCGACTACGATTTATTTCTTAGACGTCTTTTAAACAAATGCTCACACAGTCTTTCTAATTGAGATTCAATTACCAAACAACTTCGGTGAGCCGTTTGAATCCCTGCTCACGTAATGTAGTGAATTTTATTTTGCTCTTTTAGAGACATACTTTTATGATCCCTGTAATGAGAGCACTCACTCCTACTTAAATGTTTTCCTTTTTCTTTTTCTGATCAAATGTAGTTATAGGGGCAAAAACTCACAGTTAATTGGTCGGATTATCGTTTCTGTGATTTTTCTTTCTTTTTCGTTCCCTTACAAATTTGTCCCCGCTCATTTTCACAATAATTACATGGCATTTTAAAATAAGTTTAAAGGGAAAATAATTTAATAAAGATAAGAGGAGTTTATTTTTCTTTTTTTTTTCTTTCATCCCATTCAATTCTATTATTTAGCCAGACCCAGAGCCAGTGAGTCATTTGTATTGTTCAGACACAATGGAAAAGACTAGAAGAGCTGTCTGAGGGTGCTTCTGCTATGAAAACAAATATGCTTTGCAGTTTAGAAGAATATTAATATTTTTTTTATAGATTGACACATGTGATTCCTCACACTTCCATTGACTGCTGCAGGGATCACAAAATGTTTCTCGGTTCAGTCTTTAACTTAATATTTCTAACATTTTCAAACCACAACGGCTGCATGATTTTACCGAGCTCCTCCAAAGCTCCAGTCACCGTATTTATTCTGATGCATTGCTGAGGCAAAGCCTTGGAGAGATTAGCCCCGACTCTCGGCTCCACACCATTTTGAGACTTTGACCTGTTAAGCAGCGGGTTCACTGAGCCGACACTTCTTCACCCCTGAGCTCTGCGAGGCTGACTAAGGGTGGTAATCTTCAAACGGAACAACAGGAAATAAAGATAAATTAGTCTGGAGATTGACGGCACCTGCAGTCTCGATAGACACTCACTCCTAAAGTTTTCTCATTTAATAAAATCTTCTGTAAATCCACATGTAAGTCTCGATGTTCGCTCTGAGTTTTTAACAGGATTCGCATAGGTAGTACACAGAGATGACCTCTCCGTCCGTCAGAGGAAAGGTGAAAGCAAGAGCAAACTCGCGGCACGGACGAGGGATGGCGCTGGATGAGAAACGGGATCGATACCGCCGCACTAACTCGGCTATCGGAGATTTACAGATAAGGCCATTCGGAGCGCGGCCCTGTGCTCAGCTGAAACCTGCACTTCATATCCATCCCAACAGATACGGAGGCCTTAATCAATATGCAAACGACGGCCGTTATCTTGCCCAGCGTAACTCTTGTTCGGTCGGCATTTTTCACAGGAACATCCAAGGTTGCCACACAATTAGCCGGGGATTAAAAGTGCAAACTCCAAACGCGGCGTTTGGAGTTTTGTGAATTTATTCACGGTGTTAGGATTTTGGGCTAGGTGTGGGCAGCATGTGAGGGTGTGAAAGCCTCAGTGCAACCACTTGATTAAATCATTCATTAATTCAATTACAGGCTTTTCAGTATGACTGATAAGCCTGAATTGGGAGGCTGAGCAGAAAATTCAAGGCAGCCAGTCAAGTTTAATGATCAGAGGGAAAAGTTGAGAGACGGAATATGAGGCTTTGCAACTTAGTCTGGTATCGTTTCTCATATGATTGGAGACAAGTGGAAGACCTCACAAAGCTCTGATCTGAAGGTCTGTCTGATCAATTTGATTTAATAAATAAATGTTGCTGATTTCTGTGCTTCACAGTTGTGCAAAACTCTGCACAACTTAGAAATCTTCTCCTTCTAAGTTTTTATGCACATTAGTTTCAGAAATACCACCCTAACCTTTTCACAATTTGTCACATTGCAATCACAAACTTCACACGCAGACTTGCACAGTGGCTGGAAAAGGATGCACAGCAGTAGCGTACGTAGGGGCTGGGGGACATCATGCTGTGAGTTTGTGTGAAACGTGTGGTTTGGAATTATTCCAAAAACACGAAGATACAGAGCTTGCAATAATATCCGTTTTCTACTCTTGCATAGACAGTAATGCTTGATGGTCTGCTTAATGTAGCCCTGTGCCTCTGAAACCGTGGATAATGCTGCACCGACGAACCCAGCTCAGTCACCTTCTCTCTCTTTGTCTCTCTGTGCAGGGATGATCTTTTCCGGGTGGAGTTGGACAACAGTGCTGGGGATGAGATGTTTTACAGCAAAGTACGTCTCCTGGACAGACACACGTAGCATTTACAACCTCTGTAGAGATGTTGCTTTGGGTCTGCAGAGACATGCGTGTGCAGCTCACGAACTGAGATAATTTGGGTCTCTTTTCCTTTACAGAAGAGAACATGGGAGTCGAACAAAAATGACATCAGGATCTGCAGGATGAAGGGCAAACATGAGGTAAGACGCAGTTTCTTCATACGTCTCTCTCTTGTATTTATACATTTTAAGGTCTCACAGGGATTTTGCAGTCAGCTGTTCACAAATCCACAAATCCAGTGAGTCTCATCAGAGACTCTAGTCAAAGTTAAGCTCAGTTTTGCTTGGATTCGTGATGGAGCTATCTGACGTGGTACAGTGTGTGCACTGGTCCAGTTTGTTCTTTTTCTCATATTTGCAAATTAGTCAATATGTGATCATCATTTTATAGCAGCCATGAGTAAAGATGTCGTGGCTCCACTGTTTTAAAACAGAAATTTTTAAACAAAAATGATTTTACTGCTTCAATTTAAAACAAAACGGTTGCAAATAATCCTACATCTGTTCAAATAATAATCAAAAAATATTTTATTATGAACCCCCGGGTTTTATTCTTGTTTCGAGTCGAATACATAGACCTGCTAAATATAGTGACATGTATAAAATGCGGTTATTGTGAAGAATATTAGACCTTTATGTAATTATGCTCTTTAATAAGCTGTACAGCTAATATCTAATTAACTAGCTAATCAGGGTGATGGACGTCACTTTTTTAGTTTAGTTTCCTCATAAGTAAGAGAGTGGCGTAGTCTTATTGTAGTCGGTCTACTTTCTGCCGCATTACCACAGTCTGATCACCTTCTCTGGCGTCTCATTGAGAAGTCTTTATCTTGTAGGAGCAGCATGATGGACATTTCTTAACCTATTTAAAATTCAAACTTTTTAATACCTTGGAATGGGAAACTGGTCTATGCCTAATTGAGGATTTGATTTTTGTAATTAAACTCAATCTCCCCAGAAGATGCTACGTTCCTAAATGATGAGAGAGGAAAAAAAAAATCTGTTCTACTTGATTTAATGACATGCCTCATGCTAAAGGCAATCCTGCAAATGTAGAAAAGATTAGTAACTAGTGCTTATTATAAGTTCTATTAAACTAAGGTGTCTGTCTAAATTAAAACTAACAGGGATGAAAAATTTATGTTAAAATAACAGCAATTTTGGAGAAGACTGGCAGGCATTTAATTTTTTCATTATGTTCAACTCGGCATGCTGTTTTACCTCTCAACAAGCTGTTTCTTTAGTGGAACAAGTTTCTAATTTATTGATTGTTATCTTGCACTTACAAAATGAAAAACTTTTTTAGGAAAAAAAAAAAAATTGGCTTTAATTATTTTTGTTTGACTAATTTGGATAAGGCATTTGAAGAGTGCATGTTGAAACCGCAGCATGCATCATCCATCCTAGAAAACAGTTTCGAGTGTAAATCGATCTATGGAAGTCGTATTTTTCATGAGCTACTCGCACACACAGGAAGGAAATAATATAATAATTTCTTCCTGCTTAAAACTTGTCCCTCCATCGTGGGTCAACACCGCGGCCTGCGTCCTCACTGAATGTACGTGGGTGTCAAAAAAACCAGTGTGGGGAGGAAGAGATGGGGTGATATGTCCCAATAGCGGCCAAGCAGCCCACGCCTGAATACCTCTTATATTTCCAACACTCATATTCCGCGCTGCCGTCTGCCACGCATAAACAGCGCATGTTAAGCTCATGTGTGCGAGTGGTTTTGTGCAGGGGTTGATGGATGTAGCTGAAGGGGGCCACATGGGCCATCTCCCCCTCAGGCACAGAAAAAAAATAAGACTTATTTAACACAGCGAGAGAGAACACCTGACATTAAATCTGTGTGAGACAGTGCCAGACAGAGGCACAATGGAGGACCGAGGGACTGAGACAAAAAAGCCGAAGCTCAGAGGAGGGAAGAGGCGGGGAGCGTGCGAGTCCCTGCTGGCCGACCCTGAGGAGGGCTGTGGGGCTGACGGAGATATGAAAGGTCTTCTTGCCCCTAATGACTGTGCTGCCTGCTAATGCTGTGAGTCACACAGCAACGCGAGGAAGATAAGAACAGTGCCAGGTCCTTTCAGTCAGCTCTCCGAGGGCTCAGGCGCTTTTCAATGGATGCTCATAGAAATGCATAGATGTATGTAAACCTTTAGTCACTTTAAGGTCAACCATTCTTGCTATTTTCCACATGAACTCTTCCTTTTAAACACTTCTCACGTTTGACAAAAATAGTGCAGAAATATTCACATTTAAAAACACAAGAAGAAAAAAATGTGTCTGGATTCATTTAAAAACAAACAAAAAAGAAGAAAACACATGTTGATGCTAAACAATGAAATTCATTGTTCCTTCCAAAAAAGATGATGTGATGAAGTTGCTGAAAATTTTAGACTAACAATATTTAGTTCCAACTTCGGAGTGCAGATTAAAAATGTATTTATGTTCTAAATTCACCACTGCCACCAACATTTAAATTGACCTCTTGCATATTTTTTGACAGCATTGTGAATTGAATTGTTTATTCAGTTCACTTCAACTTAAAAAAACAAAACAAAACAAAAACTTATAAACCCCAAAGAAAGATGATTAATCTAATGTGTGAATATGTAATATATCAAGGTTTAAGGCACGATATCAATTGAGAAAAAAAGGCATATTTATTCAGTTTAAAGATCATGTCGGCTCTGTAAACATAACTACAATAAGAGATAAAACTTCCCAGTTAACATGACGTCACACAAATCAACATGAATCCTACAAAATGGTACAAACGCAGCAAAGGATTTAAGCTATAAACTGTTCTTAGAAAAATTAAATTGGTGACTATTTTCTGTATGAGGTAGCCGAAGTTTATTTTAAAAAGTTTTCAGCTTGCAGCAGCTGTTCACCCCCAGATAAGAAACAATTTAATGTTGCCAGAATAAGCTCTGCTCAGTTCTTCAATGTTCAAACCAGTCTATTAACTTCTCAAAACATGGTAATGGCAGTCGTTAACGTTTTTTTTTTTATTCTGAATGGGTTCATGCAAAACATGTTTGCAGTTATCAAAACTATTTTAAACCAGATATTTTCTCTCTGATTGAAAATGGGGCAGGAAAGATGATGAAAAGATAATTATGTAAAAAGAGTATATGGGGAAAAATAAACGTTTTTTTATTGACATTCTTAAATATAGCCTGTTGAAAATGTGGATAGTTCTTAAAAATCAATCAAAAATCTTTATGACAGTCAAACCTTATAATTGCGGTCCAGGTTTTGTGTATCTCCACTGATATTCTGATCGTTTACCTTTGGCAATGAGCTCTTAGTGTTTGAGGCTGGAAGGGATCAGTGTCATCGCCCTAATCTTTGGCTCCCTCTATGCATTTTCTGTCACATTCAAGTCAGGAATTTTGCTACATTCTGGTTAGATGAAGCATAGCAAGTCAAAGATTACTGCCATGGGTATAAATAATGTATTTAAAATATCTCAACTTCCATTTTGTTTGTTTTGTGGGTGGTTTGGGGAGCAGATCTACTTCATGTTTGAGCTTCTTATTCATGGTGTTGCGTGGAATCGGTGTCGGTTCCCTACTGCGTCATTGTCTTGGTGGTGTTCTCCCCCCACAGTGTGTGGTTGGTTCGCCCTCATCTGACTGTCATTCTGGAGCTGGAAGTCCCACAGGATCCTTTGCCCTGTAATTTCCAATCATCCTCGGTGGAGTCTCCCACTTGGACAGGAGGAGTTTTGGTCTATTCTAAGGACAGATGTTCATCCTTTATTCCAACCTCTCTGCAATGCCATCCCATATTCACTTTGCCTGCCAGCATCTTGTACTGGACTGTCTCAGGGGAATCTTTGCACAGTCAGCAGCACCTATTGCTTCTGTTTCTGAGTTCCTGCTTCAAGTGCCTCTATAGGCTCCTCACCTTAAAATGCTTATTGTGATGAGCTTTAGCACTGCAATATACGCATCACCAGGGCTTAAACATACAATAGAGTCACCGTGGAGCAGACAAATGATGTTTTACAACAGAATGTATAAAAGTTACATTTGTCTGCAGCAAAGCATGTATGTTCAATGCACCTGAATCCAGGGGTTCCAGGTGTTAATTTAAAACGCATAACAGTCAGAGTCTTACTTAGACTCACACAACAATATGCATAATCTGTATTATTGCAGTTATCATAAACTATAACACCAAAAAGTTCAAGTTTGTATATATTTGAGCATTTATACTTCAAAGTTAGTTTTTTCTAATATTCTTTTTCATTCTGTCCATCCTAAACAAGTTTTTTTTCTCCTAATCCCCCAGAATCAAGGCTGTTGTTTTATTTATACCTTCCTCGTCTTCACTCCTCCTCTTCTTCGCCCTCTGAAATATCCTGTTCTGCTTGGAGGAAGGTTGTGTCAGATGTGAAACACTTGCCACCTCAGAATTGGTTTTGTAATTAAATATTTCTGCTTGATTGACCAGGAAGGACACAGTATTCTGCCTTAATTAGGCTTAAGATTCAATATCCTACGTCTCCTGCTGTTTCCCTCTCATTGTGTTGACCAAAGGATTGTTACCACAACCGGCCTCACTCGCCATCCCTACAGATCAGTTTGTTGCCTCACAGTCTCCTTCTTTTGCATCATTGGTATTTGATTGTCTCTTTCTGTCATATCTTCTCCTTGTTTCATTTTTGTCCCCCCTTTCACTCCTATAGAAGCAAGAAATAAAGTAGAATGGCTCCATGCCAGCATCAAGCAATGACTGCAGGCATTTGCATGCAAACACAGTCATGCACTTCTAAAGAGTGGTTGGGCATTGCTATAACCAGCACTTAGCAAGATTGTTTAATCAATATTGCCTTGATCATGCTCTTGGGTTTTAAATTGTCCAACCAAAGCACATTTTCTTGGTTTGAGCGTGGAAAAACAAATCAGTTTCTTTGCTGTTTGATGGCTGCTAAATAATAAATGGTGCCTTGCTGCAAGAAGGTTCAAGGTTCAAGTTTGCGTGTTCTCCTTGTTGTTCTCTCCAAGTCCTCCGGCTTTCTCCCGCAGTCCATAGACATGAGATTTAGGCCAATTGGTTTCTCATTCGTCTTACGTTGTTCCTACATATCGGTGTGTCCGTGCTTGGTTGTTAGTAGGCCTCCAAGTTGC